TAAACAGGGCAAGGAATCTCTGGGAGGAATCTAGCTCAGTGTGAAGGCCCTGGGTCCAATTCCCAAATCACAAAACTAAATAAAAACATGCAATTCCAGGGCTGGGGATTTAACTCAGTGGTACTGCTGCCTGCCTCACAAGCACAAGGTCCCAAGTTCGATCCCTGGTACCAAAAACCAAAACAAAACATGTAATTCCATCTGATCCAGAGAAAAATACCAGCCAAGGCCTAATGAAGGCAGGGGCTTCACAGTAACTGACCAGTAATCAAAGCTGTCAAGGTCTTTGAAAACAAGGAGGCACTGAGAAACTAAGAAACTGTCCCAGCCAAGGGAAGCCCTGGAAGACATGACAACTCCAGGTAATGGGAACCGTAGATGGGATCCTAGAACACAGAAACCCAAAACCAAGCAGGTGTGGTGGTACACACCTATGACACCAGCAGCTGGGAGGCTGAGACAGGAGGATCTCAAGTTTGAGGCCAGCCTGGACGCAGAGCAAGATTGTGTCGGAGGAGGAGGAGGAGGAGGAGGAAAACTAAGGAAATCTGAATACAGGACGGACTTGGGTTAATAAGTAAATCACTGTGGTTCATTAATTGTAGCGAATGTAGCATACTAATGTAAGATACTAACATGTGAAACTCAGTGTGGGGGTATACGGGGACTCTGTTCTCAATTTTTTTGTAAATCTAAAACTTCTAAATTTGTCTAAGTGTTTTTAAGGCCACTGAAGGGGCAAGGGAATCAACTGAGCACCCGACCTCCACTGCAGCTAAGCCCTTGCTCAGCTTCCCATAACAAAGCATCAGCGGCCTCTGTCACAGACTCCAGCCAGCTTGACCTGACCAGTTTTCATGATCGATCGATCAATCCCTCTCTCTCTCTCTCTCTCCCTCCCCTAAAATGTCTCCTGACAAGCTGCTCGAACAGACCTGACTTCAATGCCAGCTGCGGAAGGCACAGGCAGGTGAAGATGGGCCGTCTCCCACGCCAGCCCCAGTGCCAAGTCTCACCTTCACCCAACCTGCACCCCACAGGGCCAGGCCCCGCCTGGGCGCTGTGGGCACAGTGGACAGTGACACATGACCCAGCAAAAACCCCTATACCCACAGACCTCACACCCTGGCTGGCAGAGATGGGCAATGAACAAGAGAATAGGAAGAAAGGAAGGGGACAGAGGTACAGGTTTGGCTGAGCAGTCGCGGACCCGGCTGAGCAGGACTTGCTGAGAGGAGGCTTGTGGGGCCGGGAAGCTCGCTATGCAGCTCTCTGGGAGGAGAACGCTCCAGGCAGGAGGCCTGAGGCAGAGTCCACAAGGGCTCTGGGCAGTGAGGTGGGGGACAGAGGAGGCCACAATGCCTGAGTACATGAGGGGAAGTAGTGAGAAAGGCCAGGAAGAACGAGACTCAGAGCCTGGAGGGATGCATCGAAGCCACTAGGGGGTTAACTCCATGATCTGCCTGGAGTTTTAAAAGGGTCTCTGAGTGGGCACTGTGAATAACCACAGGGTCAAGTGCAGAAGGAGGCCCATCCCTGCCACAGATAAGTCACTGACTCTGAACCAACTGGCAAGGTGGTGAGGGGACCCAGCAAAGAAAGGTGCCAGGCCACAGCGCCCGCCCCAAAGTGCCCATCGCGGGGTGAGCCAAGTGGCCCTGGAGTGAAACTCTGCTTCTACAGGAGCCACAAGAAACCTCGCCCACAAGTGAGTGCTGGGGAATACGCAGCCCTGTACATTTAGAAAGGCTACTCATCCCATTCCAACTGGAAGACAGAAAACCATGGTTATGGGCCTCCCAGAGCCCTCAGATCCAGCAGCTGGAAATACCTGTCAGAAATCCTGGCCGTGAGCCCAGCTGTACTGGCTACGTGAATGTGACCCTACTGTTTAAATACTGTGTAACTGTCCCACATCACTGATATCCTTAAAACCTCTCAGAATATTTTCACAACAAGGCTGACAAAGAAAAAAGTTGTTACTAGGGCAGGCAGGCACAAAAGGCCTCCTTGCCAAACAACTTAGATATTTTAATTCTCTATTGCCTCCGTAGCTAAATAGCATGGAGAACAAGCAGGAGAGGAATACTAATTGGGCTAATTAGACCCTGCCCTTTCTGCCTCAATCTCTGTTAGAAAACCCCCCTGACTCAAGGATGGAGTTAAAATGTTAAAACAGCAGTCTCCACACCAAGCTCAAGTTTGCGATTCCTTGTCCTCTCTTGAAGCCCCAGCCTGGTTGCCCAAAGAGAGCTGCAAACCCAGCCAACTTCGGCGGCAGAGACCGCCACCCAATCCCATGGTGGGTGGAACGGGGGCGGTGTGGGAAGGCGCTGCCAACACAAGTCAGAGTCCACTAAATAAAATAAAGGCTCTTTTAGTACTCAGAGCATTCTAATTTGCAGGGCATTTGCTAAAAGACCATTTGATGGCTTTAACAAACACACTATCATAGCAAACCTGACTCTAGTCATGCAGCAGGAGCACAAGCTCCTCCCCGTCAGAGCAAGGGTGGCATGGAAAGGCCTCACCCCAATTAGACAGTACCCTGGTTTTGTCCTAGGGTTCAGTCCAGAGGCTCCTGGATCCTGAGGAACAAGAGATACCCCTGATGTGGTGGGGACAGTGGCTGCCAGCCAGCAGGGACTTGTGGAATCCTGTGAAACTTAAGGTCAGTTTCCTGCTGGATTTACCCATGGTCTCTAGGGACACCCAGGCTGGCATGGGCCTGCAAGTCACCTCTTTCTTTGAGTAACTTTTTCTTTCAAATCATGTTCCTGGTAGCAAGACAGAAACAATCTTTGGATAAAGTACCTGCAATGCTTCAAGAAAAAAAAGGGAAAGATAAGAAAAGAAATACAGAATGTGTCAAGTTGGCTCAGCAAAACTGGAAACTGGGAGAAGTCACACAGGCTCCTTCTGACCTTGCAAAGTTTCAAGGCACTAGGGGGAGATAGCCAAGCTTAGAGGCCAGTGACCTTCCAGGGGCTGGCGGAACTGTAACAGGAAACGCAGAGTAGCAGCCTGCAGTCACAGGGATGGACAAGGGGAAAAAGGAACCCTGAAGGTTTTGGAATGAATCACCATGGTTCAGTGCTTTCTCCCTGTGTGAACTGTGTCATGCAAGATAAAGGGCACAAGACAGAAAAAGCCATGGTCTTTGGTCACTACTCCCAAGCCACAGCAGGGCAGTATGCAAGTCATTTGTCCTCATAGGGCCATGTGCAAAAGGAAGACCCTCGTGAGACTGTACATGAACTCTGAAAAAAGGAAATCACAATGCAGGTGGAAAATAATGCCTTTTAAAAATTCTTTGCAACTAAAAATATTTGAGTTTTTTTAGAATCACAGAATGTCAAACTGGAAGAGCTCCTTCACAGTTCCCAAACTTCAATTTCACACAACATTAAGATTTTCAAAAACAAAACAAACAAAAGAAGAGGAGAAATTAACGTAGGGTTGCTGGGTTTTTAGTTTGCCAAAAAAAATTAAAAATACTGTCACTAAACAGTAGTAAAGGAAAACTTACACGGAAAAAATAAAAAGGTCGTAATTTTAAACTAAAAGAGAAGCCAGGTGTGGTGGTTCACACCTGTAATCCCAGCACTCAAGAGACGGAGGCAAGAGGATCCCCGAGTTCGAGAACAGCCTGGACTACATAGTGAGTTCAAGACTGGTCTGAACTATGTAGCAAGACCTTGTCTCAAAAAAGCCAAAAATAAAAAATAAAAAAAAAAAACACCAAAAAACTAAAGGAAAGTCCTCGTGAAGCAAGGGTTAGTTGACAAGCCCACTCCTACGTGTAGCAGGGAGACACAGTCTGTACCTCCCTTCTCTCCCATCCCCACTCCCCCCACCCCACCCCGGCCCGGCCCCCACCCCGGCCCGGCCCCCGCCCCGGGATCCAAGAAAACGCCAGGGATCTGCGCTGGTTGCCCAATGGGTGTCAGGGATGCACTGATGTACTCGGAGCTCCGCAGTGATTATTTTCCCATAAAGAAACCTTGCCACAGGATTAAGTTTGAATTAGGGCCTGAACGAAGTTTTTTGTTCGCGCTCTCAGGGAAACCTCTGCTGCCTCTCAGTAAAGGGGACCCGGTAGGGGAACCACCCTCCCTTCCGGCAGCCAGGCAACCACTTGGCTCCCGAGAGCACACTAGTACCTTGGCTGGAAAGTGAAGCGCGCACCCCAATGCACAATTACTTCTACGGGAAAGGGGAAAGTTAGAAGCTTCCTTCTTTTCTTTGTTTGGAGGCAGCAGGGGTAGCTCGTTTGCCTGGCAGCCCCGGTCCACACTGTACAATCCTTCCTCGGGAGGGTTCCTAACTGCCTCTCCCAACTGGTTAACCTAGGTGATCGAGTGCTCCTGGCACGGCCGCCAGCCCCGGGCTGCGCCAGGGTAAGACGATTTGCACAGCTCTGCCCTCCACAGTGAGGGCGGCTCGCGGCTCGCAGTGTCTTCAGGTCAGGGGATAAAGCCTGACAGAAATCAGACTCGGGGTCTCATCCAGGCCCCAAGTGGGGTGTGCGCTCGGGCTGTGGGTCTCGCTTCGGGTTTGCGGTGAGCGGGAGGGACCCGCGGGTCACCTCTAAAGGAAAGCAGTCAGCACCGTCGCGGTGGATCTCGGCTCGCTACGGGGCCCCGTGCACCCTCCGTGCCAGGAGGCCAGTCCTGGGCTGCAGAGAAGACCGGGTATCCCGGGGTGCGGGGCGCCAGCGGCATCACCCCGCGCCTCCTCGCGCCGCGCGGGCGGCCACAAGAGCGGCTTTGTGCCCGCGAGTGGAGAGCCGGGGCCCCGGGGCGGGGAGAGCGCGGGCGCTCGGACCAGACCGCCCGCTGTTTACACAGGAAGGGAGGCTCCTCCTCGGTCCCGGAGGGACCCGGAGCTCCGGCGCGGGGCGGGAAGTGTCCCGCGGCGTCGGCCCACCTGGACGTGCTCACAGCGCCCGGCGGCCGAGTGCACCGCGAAGTTTCCCGGGGCGGCCCGGGCGCGCTTACCTGCGAGGCGCGGCACAAGCGCGCAGAGCGCCAGCAGCCAGGCAGAGCGGGGCGCCGCGGCCCACCGCATGGTGGGCGCCCGGCCTCAGCGGCGGGGCGGGCGACGGACTCGGCGGGGGCGCGTGGCGGGGACGGGGACCGGGGCACGGGGGCAGAGGGCCGGGGGCCGCAGCCGCATGCCCGGCGCGGGGCTCGGTCTCAGGGCTCGCGCAGCCAGGCGGGAGGCAGGGGCTGCGCTGGCCCGCGTCCCGCCGCCACTATCCCTCCCGGGGCGCACGCAGCCGAGTCTGGGGCCGCCGCTGCCCTGGCTGCCGGCAGGGACGCTCAGGGCGGGCGGGCGCGCGACTCCTCTAGGGGCTCCGGACGCCCCCTGCGCAGCAACGGGCTGGCCTCCACCCCTCCCTTCTCCCTCCGGCCGCCGAGCTCTCGCCTCTCCTTCCTCTCTCTGCCAGCCCCCGCCGGGCGCCGCTAGGTCAGTTTACGGCGGGGAGGGGCGGGGAGGGGCGGGGAGGGGCGGGGCGGGGCGAGCTCGGGCCGAGTCGGCTCCGCCCTTCGCTTGACCCGCCGGAGGCGCAGAGGTCCCGGGGCGCCCAGGTGTGCGTCCCTTCCGGCGCGCCCAAAGGCTGGGGGTCGGAAACTACGGGTAGGGGCCTGATCCAGGGTCTCGGCAGCCTGTCGCCACGGGAGCGGCCGGGCGTGCTCCACTAGGCGAAGCGAGATTACTTGAGCCGAAAAGCGGTTGTTAGACTTCGGGAGAGCAGGTACGGCCGTCTCGTCCTCCTCCCCCTGGCCAGCCTGGCCTCGCCCGAGGCGACACCGCAGCCTCCAGGCAGCTCGCTGATGGGGTAAGGAGAGAAAGGGAGGCACTGATAAAGCACGCTTTTCACTTTTTTTGCCTTTTTGTCCCTTTGGAGAACTCGAGTCCGGCCCATATGCCGCTAGTTTTAGTTTCCCTTACCAATACACTGATGGCTTGGGTGAGCAAACTGATAAACTCAAAAGCAGATGTCTTACCATTTACCTCTGAGCTGGATCTGAAATTGCAGGTAAGGGATGGGGTGGGAGTGGGGACTTCTCAAACAGCTCCTGCCAAAGATCTGGTGGGCTTGACCGAATGGGTCGAACGGATTGAGACCAGAATGGTTTATAACCAAGAGAAGAGGGGCATTCGTGTAAAAGGAAGTAATAACAGGACACCTAACACAGACAGACAGCACGCTGCCAAGCAGGTACTCTGCTAAGTGCTACACCTATATTAACGCATTGAATCCTTCTGCTGTCCAGGTGCGGAAACTGAGGCATACATCACTTAACTTGCTGGAGGGAGTGATAGCTGGGGTCCCTCCTCCAAAAGTTCTGAATGGCTGAACTAAAAAGCAGAAACAGTTAAAGAGTAAAGAGCAAGGTGTTCTCATTTTTGCAGGTCAGGAGCCAGCTGGAAGGAGGGCTTGGAGGGCCAGGTCGAACACCTTCCTAACTGCCCAGTTTCCACAGTTTGGATCTTAAACTATATTTGTTCCCACCCCCACTCCCAAATTCTACCAAGCTGGTCCCCCAATGTTAGAGGAAGTAAACTTATTCTTGTAGTACAAGGTGCCTGCGGCAAAACTGAACAGACCACAACAAGCTCCACATCTGGCTCACTGCCAACATTTTATCCTTAAATGCTTGCAAATATCATTGTATTCTTTAATTTCCTTGTTTGTTCTGGTGTAAAAGCATGTTTGTCTTCATTGTCTAGTAAGAATGGTGTTTGCAGAAGCTGCTCAGGTTTATCTTGGGATTACCTGCCCCTTCGAGCAGTGGTGTGGTGGGGACAACTCAGCCCACTTCCAGAGGCAGTGATTATAATTAATGGGAAGCTAAAGAGTTTAAACTGGGAGACATCGTGTGCTAAGTGGTCACGTGCCAAGGGGTGATGTAAAAAGATTTGTCCAGCAGAAATGTGTAGGATGGATTAAATGAAATAAGTTGAGTCCTGGACACTGAGGAAACACTGTATTAATAAGGATGCTAATAACTTGAGTATGCCAAGTATTCTTTAAGTTTAGGCCCTGTGGTGTTGTATCTTCTGGGCACTTCTCTACCCCAAGCTAGGTGTTTTACAGCTGCTGAAGTAGCTGCCGTTGTCTCACACCCAACAGACCTGGGTTACCAGCAAAGTGCTGTGATCCAACCTCTCCGTGCTCTGCCGTTTCCAGCCTCCTCCTGTCACACCTGGTGCTTCCCCCAGCTCTCAGCCTGCCCAGACCTGCGTACAACTCTGAGCCTCAGCGATCCAGGCTCCATTATCTTAAAACTGACTTGAAGATGCCAGTGGTAATTCTGAGTCTTTGCTTTCTGGTTTGTGCGGTTTTTTCCTCCCCAAGAACCTTTTGCTCTTTTCATTAAGTCAGAGCAGGGGGGTGACCTTCAATAATACCTGACTTCCTCCTACTCAGTAAATTGAGCATACACTGATGTTCCCTTCAGGCAGGGGACACAGCAGTACTTCTCCAGCCACTACCACAGTTTCCTTTGTGGTGACCTCAGGGACACTGCACATCTAATCACTGCTGAGCCTCAGCTGGAAGGGGCTGTGGTTGTATCCATCGGAGTCTCCCAAGTTTGAACATGGACAACTCACAGAAAACGTATGTTTCTTGTTTTCCATTTTCAAATATGATTAGTTCCTTAAGTATTAAATATGGAAGTAGCATATGATCCAATTATCCCACTTCTGAGTATATACCCCCCAGAAAATGAATGCAGGAACTCAAGCAGATACTTGTACACCCATTTTCATAACATTATTCATAGCAGAAGTTAGGGACCGTCCAGGGCCCATCAACAGGTAGATAAACACAACATCCTATGTCCATACAATAGGCTATTATTAAAAGAAATGAAATTCTGGCACGTGTTGCAGCATGAATGAACCTTGAAAACATACTAAGTGAAATAAGCCTGAGCCAAAGGTAGTATTCTAGTATGACTCTACCTTTATGAAACATCTAGAATAAGCAAACTGATAGAAAGTAGAACAGAGGTTACCAGAGGCTGGGGGAGAAAAATATGGGGAATTAGTAATTAATGTGAATAGAGTTTGAATGAAAATGAATGATGGTAATGGTTGCATAATATGATGAATATACTTAGTGACATCAAATGGTGTACTTGAGATGGTTAAAAAGGTAAATTTTATATTATATTTTTTTTACCATTGGAAAACACACTTAGGGCTGGTGATATAGCTCAGTGGTAGAGCACTTGCCTACCAAGTTAGGCAAGTGCCTAACTGCCTTGGGAGAGCTCAGTTCCCAGTACTGAAAAAAAAGGAGGGGGGGGTATAATCTGTTACTTTCCAAATAAAAAGGTAATCTCAACTTTAAAAGAAATGTACCCATTTTTCAAAAAAAGAATATATAAGCACATGGCAGAGAGAATATGAGGCCTATGAAATGGTACAATTTTGGCCAGACTTTTTAAAAAATTCATTTTGTGACAGGAACTTGATAAATTGCCTAGGCTGGCTTAAAAACCTGCAGTCCTCCTGCCTCAGACTCCCAAGTAGCTGGGGTCATATGTGTGCCTGTATTCCTCTTTATAGGAAAACGTTCTGCCATAGGCTTTTCTCTCTGTGCACCATGGCCCTTATTAGAAAAAAAAATAATAATCCCATGCCAGCTGTCAGAGTTATAGCTACTACCAGACTGCTGAGGACAGGCCTAAAAGTACATCTGCGTGGATCATAGATGCACCCAGGGGACGGCAGGTGACCGCCCTGTGAGCATCCTGGGTTCATGCTAGTGAAACAGCTGGTTACATGAATGTAAGAGATCCACACTAATCTTTTTTGCTTTGGGTTAAGTGTGCACACTATGGCTGTGCCAAGTGTGAGGTTGGTGGAACTTCACATTGAGAGGCAGAACACCAACCGGTTCTTGACAGAAAGTTGCTATAGTAGGGAAAGATGTTTCTGTTTGTTGTTGTTTTCAATGTACAAATATAGCTGAAAGTCATTAAAATGTCAAGTTTCTCTGACTTTGCGAAGAAGCACACATGAGCATCTTAATCTTATTTAGCTGGCATGTCCTGGGTAAAGAAGGCATGTGTTTTGAAACTCTTTGTTCATATAATTATCAGTTCTGAAAATACTCATTACTGATTATGTCTTTTTGAGAGCAATTTTTAAAAGTTTAGTTTTGAAAGTATTTTTAAGATTAAACATTCTGAAATAAATGTATGTTTTCCAGCTCTGAAGTGTGTAAAAAAAAAACAAACAAAACAGCATCCATTAATAAATTACAGTAAGAGTTGTGGTATTTTTCATGCTTGTTTTCTTTTTAGAAAAAAAATTACTTAAAATTATCAGCAGGGCTTAGACCCAGACACGCCTCTGCTGGAGTCTTTCTCTAAATGCCCCCTTTCGGCTCCAATGAAGCAATTTCAGTTTGTTGCTCTTTTCCTAGAAGTTACTCCCCAGTACCTAGAGGGTAGAAGTTCTTTTCCAATTATTTCAGTAAAAATTACTATGAATAAAAACAAACACACACACGAGTTTAAATTGATCATGGTTAGAAATTTTTGAGTAAATGCCAGAAATAAAGGAGTGAGCAGGAGATGGGGAAGGGGTACAGACAGCGATGGGCCAGGCAGGTGTGGCCTGGGGAGAAACACGGCCGAGTGGTGGGGCAGAGGCCCTGAACTGTGCAGCCCTGGCAGACAGAGACACTTGAAGACAGGAAGAAAGACGCCCCTTTGCAGGAATGCTTCTGGAAACTGAGCTAGCATTCTCCCTTGGGTACCTCAACCCACTTTCTTTTTCATTCTCCTTTCTACCTTCACTCCATGTTTCCTTCCTTGCCTCAAACTCCTGCCTCCCTCCCTTCCTTAGGTAGGCTTTCACCAGCCTTTCAAAAGTCAGGACAAGCTTCTGGTCTCTCTTTTTTTTGGAGCGCCCTGTTTAGGGCTGGCGGGGAGGAAGGATTCAGCTGCTTGAGTACCAGGTCCAAAGAAGCCAAGGGTCAGCCACCGGCCACCAGCCTGGACTCAACTTTGTCCTATGTGCATTTCCAGCCCTTTTGTAGAACATGGCCTGTCATATTCAGTTGCTACTGGAGCAGAATTAGAAATCTTCACCCAGAATCAGAAGAATTGTGTTCTAGGCCTCAGTGCCATCAACTAGCTGAGCAATGGGCATCTGCCTGCTGCCACTATCTGGAGCTGTTTGCTCACTTGGAAAGTGAAGGGTCTCATTCCTGCCAGAGCTGGGGCTCTGATTGCTACTTGTGAGGTCAGGTGTGTTCGGCACTTCCCAGTAGCTCCCGGGCACATAGCCTGATCTACCAACTGAAAACTACTCTTCAAGAAATCAGTGCCCTCATGTAGAGCATGGGAGGCCTGTTTGGACATGCTCTCTGTGTGGGGAAGCTGAGGGCCTGTCTCACTGGTGCACTCTGGAAATGCCCACTCCTCCTCCTTAAAGGATGGCCCAAAGGGCTTCCATCAGCTGCCTGGCTGATGCACTCAGATTAGCTAATCCTCAATCACAGGGAGTTCTTCATTCCACCAAACCCAAGAGCCTTTGGTAGTTTCTCTTATCCCAGCTTTGGGGAGCTTAGTCACATATCAGAGACTGTGATTAAAACACGATGCCCGCAGTGCCCACCAGGTTCTTCTTAGGTTCAGTGACATATTCAGACTCACAAGCCTCCCAGACACCTCATTGGGCTTTCAGTGACTCAGAATAGTGAAGGGAAGAATCACTGCCGGCCATAGTGGAGCATCAAGAGTTCATCCCCACCCATGCCCTACAAGTGTCAACACAGGACTCGGGGGTCCATTGATGTGTACCATTTTATGCATCAATTAAAAATAAGTAAATAAATTAAAAGTTCACATCATGGGTGCTCTGGTGGCAGTCAGCTTAGGTATAAGGAGTTGATATCCACATCGGACGGGTGTAGTCCCTGCCTGTTGTAGAAGTCAGTGTCTTTTGTGGTAACTCCACAGGTGTAACATTCCAGGTTCATCACAAAAGGCAAGCCCAGCTCAAAAAGTCACCACACTCAGGCCTTAAAAATGGTTTCCTGCCATGTATTTATAGTTTATACATTCAACACTGTAAAACATGCCTTATTCCCCTGATTTGGACAACAAATGATAGCACCAAAACTTCCTGAATCCGAGGTCCACTGTTCCTTCAGTATTTCACGGCTGCCTCCTCTTGAATGGAATTCCTAATGTGCATGTGACTATGGCAGACTCTTCACATGGTTTAGGTGTATTGAAAAGATATAATATCCTAATGTTTTCTAAAGCACAATAGCATTTCTCATCAAATCATTGGTTTTACTTGTGATTGTTTCAGAAAATACGTGCAGGTTAGCTCAACAGATGCATCTGAGAATACCTGGCACCTAGTAGGCATTTACCGGACCTGTCTTACGTTTCCTGACATGGGAGGTGGGCCCAAATGACTTCCTAGGCCACAGCTCTGCCCACTGTCTGCTAAGCCATGTGACACAGGGCTCTATGTGTAATCGTTGCCCTTTTAGCATTTATTTCTAAACCACAATAAAATCTTCACTTACAATAAACACAGTGCTTTACAACCCGAGATCAATAGGCAAAAATGAGGTAGGCTGCTCAGCCCCCTAACTAGGCCAGTGAATCAGCTTTCCAAATGCAGCTACAGGGTGGGGCAGGCCAGCGCCAGGCAGGGTGCTCAGGAGCCTTCACTCTGCTGGGCTCCTTCCAGGGAGACCACACAGGGCACCAAGAGTCACTCCACGGCGGAAGCGAGGCCGGGGGGAGTCCTTCACTTACCCTCATGGTTCACATGGGCCTAGTACAACAGAAGGATTGGGAGCACAGGAATCGGAGGATCTAACTCCCCAGGCCTTCATAGCCTTTTTGTCTTTTCTCTTTCTCTGTGGAAGGCCTCTTCCTTGATCTTCACTGGCTGATAAAACTCTTGCTCATCTACCCAGCTCCAGTGCTGTCCCCTCCATAAAGACTTCCAGAACTGCTGCTGATCCAATGCTCTTCCAGTACTCAGCCTGGGCCTCCACATGAGGAACAGAAGCGGAAGTTGGTGGTTTATGGCACAACCTTCTCTCTTGACAGAATCCCCAGCTCCCTGAGGGATAGTGCTAAAAGAAGTATATGCAGGGTGACTCATTTATTCCACAAGTATTTATTGAGCATGTGCCATGTGCCAGATATTGTTCTAAGATGAGGGACAGAACAGCAGTGTATCCCTGGGTGGGAAAGATGGGAATACTGTAGGGTGAAGGGAGGGAGAGGACAGAGACCAAATGGCTGTCCCACAAGTTCCCATTCCCAGCCATTCCTGGCCTGGTCACTCTGCCATCTCTGTCCCTCCCATGGAATGTAGGGCCATGGTTCTGTGACTGAGTCCTAAGCCCTAGGACTGAGTCCTAGGCCCACAGGACAGGGCGGGAATGAGGTACATTCATACCAGGTCAGACCCATAAAAACCTCTTGCCAGGTCCTCCATACTCTTGCACTTCCTAGGAGATCCAGGCAGGGAGAACTTTGAGAACACAACAGGAAGGAGTCTGAGTCACCTCTCTGAGTGTGTGTGTGTGTGTGTGTGTGTGTGTGTGTGTTTGGGGGTGTCATCGGA